TAGGCGACGCTCATCTGTTATACAATATGTCATTAAAATCGTTCACTGCCCTGAACGCTCTGTACTGAATAAGCTTTCTCACGCCGCCACGGCAGCGCGCGTACGTCAATCGGCAGGGCTTTTCGCCGACCCTCCGGCGACGTCGAACAAAGGTCCCTTTGACCGCAGCAGGTAGAACGCAGCGACCGGCGGCCGCAGTGGGAAGGTTACCATTTAAAGCTGTATTCTGCTACCGGTGGCGCGTCCCCCCTCCTCCGCTTCGCGTAGCGCGAGTCTTGACGGAAGCGCGCTGCCGTCGCGACGTGCGAAGGCGCTCTAACTGAGAGCTTAGTCTTCTTCACTTCACGGATTAAGCTCATGACCTGTTCCGTTTTCACAAAGCATTCATTTCCATCTTTTCCTCGGTCTGCCTATATTTCTTGTACCACGAGGATGATAGTTATAAGCCTTTTTGGGTATTCTTGTATTTTCCATTCTTCCTATGAGTTATTTCCATATCTCTCTGTATTCCTCCATTTTCCCATTTATAGCTTCTATTTTCAATTCCTGTCTAATGTCATCGTTTTTTATCCTGTCAGATCTAGTACATCCTTTCACGCTTCTTAAAAATCTCATTTCTGCAGCCTGTATTCCTTTTTAGTTGTTACCCAACTTTCACTTCCATATAATAGCATTGGCATGGCCATCATCTTATTAAGTTTTATTTTTGTATCTTCGCTAGTTTTTTGGCCTAAAGTTCTAGTTATTGTGCCGCAAATATATTGAAATTTTTGGATCTTATTTTCTATATCATTATCTCGTTCGTAACTAACATCACAACCGAGATAATTGAAGTGTGAAACTTGTTCTATAATTTCATTTTCTATTACAATTTTTTATCTCTGATCTCTCTATCTAGAGAGCTTAGTTTAAGGCATATTGAAAGCAACTCAACGACTGAAGTGACGGCGCGAACTATTGTTAAACCTCCGTGTAAACAATAACCCGGTTTCGAGGTATTGCCACAACGCCAAACAACCCCTCTTACATGTTACAAACACACCACACACTACTGAAAATTATCATAACATGTCGTTATAATGATATTTTGTTCAAAATATATCACCAAACAAACAAAAATGCCTTAATATGCATTGGCACATACAAATACGACTTGTCATACAAATCCCGATCCCTAGTTATAAACATACTAGACAGGTTTTACTGAAGTTAATTTCTGTAGTTTTCTCGAAATTCAACAAAAATGTACCAATAAAAAGGGTTTAATTTTGTATAAGTAATTAAATAACGAAATATTCAGAAAGGGAGCATTACCTGGTCAACAGCTGATGAAAATCTGCAAGCTGAGTTTGGGTTGCAGTCACACTTCCTCCTGAATTCTGGGTAGGAAGTGACTGAAGAGCATTTTGCAACCATTGACTGACCGCCTAAAAAAGCAGATTCTTATGTTAGTACATATTCATGTGTGTGAGTGCGTATGCACAAAAATACAATGTGTTACGTTTACACAATTAACTGTGTAGGCCTTCATGTGTCGTACAATTTTTAAAAAATGTAATGAATTCAATATGCCACATACTTGACAAGGAAGCGGTCTTACCTATTGGTGAATAATTAGTAAATTATACTGCAATGTATAGCCTGATTTCAGCCATCTCTTCTAAAACCCTCAATACCAATATCAATAGGCTCGCAACTCACCACACAACTATGTAAATTACCTACTCAATCATGTTAATTTACTACCATCTTCTAAAACTCACTTCATAAGATACTTCAACCTTATTTGCTGCATGCGGCCAACAATCGTACTTATGGTTGTACTTATGGTTGCCAGTGTCTACTATTTTCACATTATGTTCACTATTTCTTTTCAAAAAAGTGGACATTTTTGTATTCAAAAGCTTAATAATGAAATGGTACATAATCTAAAGCTGTAAAGTCTAAGAGAATAAGGGTAGGGCGTAAGAAAATATATAATTTAATTGTATTTTTTTCTTTCTCACACTTACTAACGTAAGAAGAGAAAGGATTGTAATTGTGCGCCTGAAAACAGCGAATTTTCGACACAAAAACTCTTATTACCGGGCCCTGGTTACGAAAAAGTGGATAAATCCAGTTGCTAAATATATATTTTAAAAAATCTTCTAACACGTGGTGTGTCCAGATTCCATGTTTTGTGGGTCCGACAAATCGATTGACGGCAAAATGTCTGTGTCTACTGTGTGTGTCTGTCGGTCAGTCCACGCATAACGCTGGCGCATAAACCGTTCAGCCGATTTTTTCCAAAATTGAAATTCCCCACTCGTTTTAGTTGATGTCGCGGACCCTGGAATTTGGAACAAATTTTAATTTTGGGGGTACTTTATATGAAGCCCCTGGGACATTTTAAAAATTGTCAAAAAAATGCTTCAAATTTGTTGATTAAATTTTGTGGTTGAATAGTGTAAAGAACGTTTAAGAGAATGGTGCAGGTCTCCTTGGAAGCCCCGATTTTTCGAACATTGGAAAAAACATTTAAAACTTCAAAATTAAAGATAGAGATTTTTGTCTCAGACAAAGACAGTTGTACAAAATTAGATCTTAAAAAAGGTCCTGTACAATTTTTTGAAAACATTAGTAGTTTTTGCGTATTTTGCGATTGAAATTTACAACAAAAAATTTCTCAAATACCGCTCCAATTTTTTTCTTTAAAATTTCTTCACATATGTCATAAGGAACGGTAAGAAATATAGCACTTGTCTCATTTTCGGATATTGCTCATTTTTTCGAAAATTTCAAAAAAATCCAAAATGCAAAATTGAAGATAAAGATTTTTGCTTTAGACAAAGTCTGAACAAGTGTCCACGAACATGATCATGTAGATAATTAAATATTAGATACAAAACAACAGTTGATTCTTTCAACGTAATAAAGATCAATGATAACTCCCCCCAATATTCACATTCAGGTCTATAGAGTCGATTACATACGAGTATATCGAACTCAAGCGGCAAGAAGGAGAATAAGGTATTGGGTACAATACAATAAAAGGTAGCCTCGTAAATGCGAACACATTGTGCTAGTTGGGCTGTTCTTCATTTCATAAGAAAGGGCCACGTTTAAACGTGATTTCGGCTATCTCCATTAAAAAATGTCAATTTTTGAGTTGTACTGTTTTTTCACTCACCGATTCAGTTGGTACAACACTGCAGGTAATCACCTAATTGTTATTAAAACTGAAGCATTTTCATGTATGCTTGGAATGTTTTTCTTACAATTTTCTCATTTATGTAGTAAATTCTACAACATTATTGGTGATATTTTGCATGGCATTATATCTTCATGATATATATCATTGCTTAATATTTCAACAACTATTTTTTAATTCACTGTTAGTTTCAAGAAATGAAACAACGTTTACCTCAAAACCTTAAAACCCTAGGGCCTGAAAAGGGCATATTTAAATGGAAATTTCAATTTCGGTTTGCACTGAGAGAGCGGAGCGCCACCCTTCGCCACCGGGAAACCGTTGCTGAAAGACGCGCAAAACGTGGCTTCTGAGGAAAAGTAGAACTCATTATTTCTATAGACGTCCGACGCGATCTGGGAGCCCCCCGAATGACCCTGAACAATGGGGCGGGCACACGACGACGGCTTACGGCAGCTGATGAAGCGCCAGCCGATGTTCGAGCTTAGCTGAGCTGAGCTGAGCTGATTGGCATTTTATATCTCGAAAAAATATCCAAGTCCTCATCAATTAGCTCGTCAAGTTCAATTACTTCATCTTCTTGTCCTTGTTCCAACTCGTATCAACTATCTCCGGTCATTTTCAGAAACGACAGTCATATTGTCGCAATACTTTTCGCAGCTGACACACAAGTTAGACCACTAATCCCTGTCTTCTTGCAGTCACTTTTTGCCGGTTCTGGAGCACTTGCAGGATTTAAGGTTAATCTGGTGGAGCAGGTGGTACTAACAAGTTGTAGTCAAAGGCGAACGGCCATATTTGGTAGTTTTCCCTCTCCACTCCACTAGATTTTTCTCCATCTAGCCGTTGCTGAACCTGATAAACTCTTTTAAGTGTTGCTGTGCTGCAGCTGCAGATGGTGGATGTGCATTGGTTTACTTTGTAACTAATGGCAGGTTTAGCAGACATTTCTCCACTGAAAGAGTGAATGCACGTTCTCTGCACTGGAGCTGAATGTGAAACCCGAAAAAGCTCTCCAACATCAGTAACCACCTCGTTAGTTGCGTTGGAGAATGCGAATAATTTTATTGTTATACTGCGATTTTCCCAACTCTGCCCCTGGCAGGTATCAGTTGTTGACAGTTTCATCCAATCGGGAGATTGATGAAATCAAGCAAGATTTTTGTCTTTGGTCTGCCAGATATTCGTTATTCCGTGCTTGGTCAATGTTGAGGTTTTGCAGCCACTCATTGCTTGTGAGAAAATAGTTGTCGGTATTTGTTTCACGTTTAGAAGCAAACGGGAAAATGTGGGTAACGAAGCTTTATCTTTCTCCTGTTTCAAACAGGATACATTTAGCATACTTGCAGAGAGCTCTCAGTATTACCAACATATCTACTACATGCACCAACTTCAATCATGGACGTATTTTTTGGATCTAAGGATAAAGCTGTGTTCATTAACGGAGTGTCAGCGTCTTCCTTCGCTTGTTGCATATCATTCCTGATTATAATATCTTTGTAATGAACATTGCTGTTAACCGCCTTTTATTATTCATGATTGCAAGAAAATGTTCTTTGCACGACTCATGAATCATTATGTCATCTAACACAACGTACAAAATCTTTTAAGACACTTTTTTCAGATTTTTTAAAATAACTTACAAGTCGTCCAGTAAAAACGCTAATGCTATTTGTAAGTAACTGTCCATAAAAATCAGGGTCTTCGAAACCTACGCGTTGCTGAAGGCACACTCGTCTTCCAAAATATTATTTTTTTCATATCATTAATTCCCTACTTTCCTTTATTTCTTAAATAAAAAGTAAATTGATTCACAAGGCGCAATAGGTAGGCAAAAACAATTGGAGTGGAGGAAACTATTTATTGAATAGACCGCAGCTATACTTTATAAATAAAAAAAGCTACTAAAAGTTTCCGTTGTTTAAATTGCGCGGCTAGAATAAAAACGGGAAGATAGCTTCATGCGCATCTTGCAAGTTGGCGCGAAATGGGAGAGTAACATGACGGAGGAAAGTGCTTGTTTAGAAAACGTGTTGCATTGTAAAAACGATTGTGTTACTACCGACAATATTACGATAAATTGTAAGTATTTTATGAAGTTTCTTAGAAACTAGCTGAACCCGTAGAACTAAGTAAAATACCGTAAAATACAACATTTCCATGAATATTTACGTGTTTTATGAGCAAAAATAAGATCAATGTCACAATATTTATTTATGGTGAAGCTGTGCGTCATTTCTGTAGAATATCCCTCAACGCAGTCCGAAAATAATTTGTGAACAACATCTTGAACGAATACATTTTGTGAAGGATTAGATTAAATTTAGTCAAAAAAAAAAAAAAAAAACGTAAAAACTATGTGACGTATGGGGTAGAATATGATCTGCGCACGTTTTCGTAACTTCCAGAAACCCTTCCCATCTTTTCAACTATAAATAGTTGAAACATAAGTTAAAAAATTAAAGATTAAAAATACAAAAAAAGAAAAAAATAATTTAAAAGCGCGAGATTAGCAACATTTGAAAAACTGAACATTTTCGTTCCAGAGTTGTATAAAACTTATTTGCAACGGGTAAATTTGCAGATTGATTTTTCTGCATTGCTAACAAAATAGAAACTCGCCCTTACCACTACTCCTACCACTACAAGCAAAAGTAGAGTTCAACAAAACGAGTGCAGAGTAAAGCTATTTACGTCTAGAAGCAAAACATGGGGTCACCTCAGTATTTGCTCAACGTTTCAGGGAAACTGGACAAAAACCTGATCGAGATGGTGGTTATTGACCCGGAAGCTGAAGTACATTATTTGTTTTATTTACTTGGCTGTCCGGGTTACGCCGCGTCCATGGCGAAGGTGCCGACGTTTCGGTCGCCATTCAGGGACCTTCCTCAGGGCACTACGCCCTGTCACCCAGACAGCCATGTAAATACTGACTCCGGCCGCGGAAGCCTACGCTCTCACATTCTTTGTTACGAGCATGTTAGGTATCTTTTTTAAGAATATACAATACAAATGGAAATTAATTCATTATATATCACTGTTTTGTTAAAATAAACATTAGTTTTAAACATTTATTATTATTTTTCACAATCGACTGCAGAGTGCTGCGATAAGCTGAAACAAATCGTAAACGAAATTCTGTCCAATACGGTGACTGAAAGGTTTTGGGCATTTTTCAAGATGATATAGTGTAAAATTATGGGGAATGTACAGATGTTTGCGACTTGTATTTAACGTGTTCTTTCACGTACTGCGAACCTTTACGAATGCGGACACTTAAACCTGGCATGCACCGGTGTTTTATACTGGCGTGTGGTCAGAAAATTTAGGTGTGTGGTGAATTTTTACGTGTTATGAACTTCAACGTCAACTCATAAAATGGGTAGAACACGACATGTTTAGTCTCCAAGACCCCAGGTGACAACGCTTCTCTGAATTTTTTGAGGTGATCTCAGCACACCACTACCATAGGATCAGTGACGGGCTATGTTCTCATCATGCGCAAAATTTTGCCGTTAGCCTGCTACATCAACATTACTAAAAACTACTTCATTTTGGCAATCTACCGCCTCCCATTACCAGACTGGCAATGAGTCTGTGAACGGACGTAAGAATAAGTTCTTTTCGATAATTTTCATTTGCGCAATACGTAATTTCAGATATGACATAAAAACAATTCTTTGCCAGCCTTGGAGCCACCCAGAGCTCGAATGTACCACCGGCAGACTGACGGCATTAATTTTCGTTCAGATCACGGATTCTCTGTACGAATTATGAAACTTGGCTCAATGACATTTTGTGATGCTGTATCTCGGAATGCGAGGAGTGCGATTAAGCTAACCCATGTAAATGGTTTCTTGAACTTTTCTGGAGGTGTGGTGATTAAAGTCTGAGGTGAGGTACGGCAACGTATGGGGCGGCTAGGTCAAATACTGACACCATTTAAAGCAATTTGAAAGAAAAATTCTCATTTAGTGCTTGAGTCTTCTATCGACGACTCGGAGTTACCAGCAACCTTTCCGCTTTCCTACGACCTCCGTTGCCCGCCGCATCTGTGATTGCGTGGCCATGCCCGCTGGGGTATGCGCAGAATACGAAAACCGTACCCGCCCCTGCTTCACCATGTATTGCTGAAAGAGCCATACTGCGCAGGACCAGGCACAGAAAGAAGAAAAATCGCATCTAGCACATAACTCTAAAGGTGTTGTGGTTTTACAAGCTCTCGCTCGAGACATGCGCTGTGGGAAAGCGTTGTGTTTATACCCGAATTGTTTAAGTATAACTCAATATTTACTTACCGCACGATCAGTGTACATAAGTTCCATGATCACATCTGCGACATCTGATAACATGTAGGAATGGAGGCAAAGAACGGATGCATGAATTAAATTACTGACTAGAACTTGTCCACGTTCACTTATCAGTGACTTCACCAGCGTCTGGCGAACTTCATAAGCTTCATCTTCCTGTGAAGAAAACATATCATACATGTATAATTTAGGTGTCACTCTGGTGATATATACTTTTCTAACATACGTTGGAAAGTATATTAACACAACATGAAAATTTTCTAGTCATACAATTGACCATAAAAAAACAATTATAAAATTAATCCAGTACTCTAATACATCACGGGCACATTCTAACGGAGTAATAATTAAAGAAACAAGTCTTTTTTGGAAACTCTGAAAGAATGTGCTGTATTTCAATCTAAACCAGCACTGGCTAACTTTTAATTGCAATGTGTCTTTTTTCCACGTACGAGTTCACAAGAAGTTGCGTTAAAATGACTTCCTCACAGGCAACACAGGTCGAAGAACACAAGAGGTTTACAGAATTCATAATCGCCCTTAATTTAAAAGTGGCATTGCACTTTTGTTTGCCAAGCACTGAGTATGGAGCATTTCAGAAATGCTGTTGGACCACAGGGATTGACAATGTTAGACTTCCCAGTTACTAATTTTGCAGCCCGGTCAGCTAACTTCAGTGCCAATAATTCCCCACGCCCAGGGATCCAACAAAGTAGTATCATAGCTGCTAGAAAATGATCGATGCAGCAAGTGTTGCTTTGTTGTCGTTAAGTAGTCTGAAGGAGAAAGGGATATGGCTTGAGGAGAGCTCAGAGAATCAGGGCAAACTAGCCGCAATGACGCGGAATCGATATATTTAAGTTTCAATAATTGTATACATATCACTGCAAATAATCACTGCAATAATTGTGTATATATATATATATATATATATATATATATATATATATATATATATATATATATATATATATATATATATGCACTAGAAGTAGAGTGAATTCGAAATTATTTTGTGGCCCTAATACAATGAAAACTGCGCATCATAGCATCATTTGAAAATGAGCCATCAATACATGGTCGGGGTATGGATTAATACTTACGGGGCAAGTATTTTATATCGTGAAAGTGGAATTGATATTCAACTGAACAAGCAATTTGTATGGGGAGGTTTGAGAGACTGAAGTCAATATTGTTCAAATGAGTTTCCTAGGCGGAAATGAGGTTGCCTGGAGGCTTCACGGGGGTAAGAGGGCAGATGTCGAGTTCTCGCAGTAGATTTAGAAATCGAATACCTGGAAGCTGAGAAGCGATGTTTGGAGAGTATGAAAACTAGAGAAACACAGTTCAGTAAGGCAGATGGTTCGAAATACCGGTAATTTAGAAGCATAAGACCCAGGGGTGGATTTACGCATAGGCACAGGCGGTGCTAAAAATTGGGCGGTAAAAATTGTAGACGAAAAGTGTATCTAAAACGCCTTCTCATTGCCGCGTGCGATTATTCTTACATCTGTAATTTGTATTCTATGAGTTGTTTAAACAAAGTGATCAAATACTAGCAAATTAATTTATTAACAGGCACACATTATATGTCAAAATGAGCGATGTTTATATTTTCAGCAGTCATGCACTAAAGATTTAATTAAAATTACCGACTATGAGTTTTTTTGTAATCTCGAACGGAATTCTTAGAAGTTTTAATTCTATATTGTAGTCAGTTGCCTGATCAGCGGAATTCACGTCAGATTTAGCGGTTTTCAATGCAGTCAGCGGGGAAATATAGTTTTGGCGCTTAGCAGGCAATTTAATAAATTATATATAAATAATTATTTAAATATAAACAATACATCATTCTATTATAAATTACAGAAAGAATACATATTTAAATTTATATAAATTTGATAATTTGTTGAAAGATGATGTTAAGAATAAACCGTAGAACATGCGTAAGTACAGAAAACATGAATTTATTTTTTATTTCTGTACATCAAAATATATGATTTAAAAAATGATTTCCCGTAGAAGAAATTACAAAATAAAACACATAAAATGTTAATTAATTATATTGAATTTTAGTTATAAATCTGAGTGTCCCCGTTGTAAACATAAATTATATTAGTTATTACATACAATTTGAACCTGGATTATTAGAAAAACAATAGACGGCAATTTGTCGCCTGCCTTACTAATCCGCTTTTGATAAGATTTCCCTTCTTTGTTTTAGATATAGCTCTCTCGTGTGAGCCTGAAGGAAGTCAATCCTGCTCGTACGGTATCACACAGCACACGTGGTGATCAGCTTTGCAGACTACAAATGTGTGCACGCCACAAACGGTTTTATCGAACGTCCACCTGGAGTCTGGCAGATTCAGTGATTGGGAGCTGATGGTTTCCAAGGTTGGGATCTTGATTGCTATGCAAGAGGTATTCATGCAGAAGAACACAACAGTAACTTTCGTAGTGGAAAAGCTGTCGTCAGTGGAGGATGTCTTTTCGTGTAGTTTACAAGGGATCTTTGGATGCTGCTGAATGAGAAAACTAGCGGTGTAACAGAATGGCACAGACTTTACCTTACTAGTTTCCCCTTTCCTTTGGTCTCGGCTAGCTATACGAACTTGCCGAATACTCTTGTCAGCTGCCATCTATTGAATTGAACTGTTGCCTAATTTTACGTGGCGAGACTCAGGCCATGAGGCCTGCTCTTCCGTCTGACCACGCAGATTTCGGCATTGCTTCCCCATCGAAAGAAGGCGTTCGAAGTGCTTTTTCGCCCTTAAAAATCCACGGCTTTGATAGAGTTTGAACCCGCGGACTTTGGTATAACAGTCCGATATACTAATCGCTACACCATTACCGCCGTTTCTAAGAAAATGGCACTTTTGCCCTACTGTAAATTTCAAAATTTGAAGCTCTTTCTCACAGATAATTTTTGAGTTTTCGAAAATCTTCATTAGAAGTCATTTGAAACACATTAACACAGAAATACAATAGTGTTTACAAATTTCTGGAATTGTGCGTAGTAAAGGCGTGATGTATCTTTCAAAAAAATTACATTTATGTACTTTTTTAAGAAAAAGGACCCTGAAATGGACTTTACATCATATTAAAAAGTGCAATTAGCACTACTCGTTCGAAAAGTAGAAGAAACAAATTGCAGCCGTTTATCAGAAAATAGCATTTGAGCGTTTCTGAAAATACGGAATTTTCAGTTAGTTTTCTCAGAAAACGGTTCAGTTAAGGAGAAACTTTATCTGACATTATTTAAAGCACTTGTACTGACACATATAAAAAATGTGAACAAACTGCCGCTAACGCAAATATTAACGACGTGAGAGGCAATTCAAAAAATGACACGTTTGTAATTTATGAAAAAAGTAATAATAGGCGTTTATGCCATCTTAGAAAGTGCATTACAATCCCTACCAAAAGTTTAAAGTTAAAAGTTAGAGCCGTTTTTGAAAAAATATTTTTGTAACTTTTTAAAATTGCACTTATTGCTCGCAATATTGGATGGAAACAACTAATATTTCCAAAAACTTTTATTTGAAAGAAAAATTTATACTTTCACGTTTGTAGTTGTAGGAAGACGCCCGAAAAATTTCAAAATTTTAGGCCTGAGTTAACCCAGACAATCGGATCTATGACACCTTTATAAATGTATTTTACTCTATATTTACAAGAAATTTAAAGAAAAATTTGGAGCCATTTTCGAGAAAATTTTCAAAATGACCAGGGGTCTCCACGTAAAGTACCCCCAAATTTTGGAGAAAGAGTTTCAAAATCACAGCGCCTCGAGTCGAGCCAGATCGACAGGGGAATATTAATTTAGAAAACATCCTATGTATGGTTTAGACGCTAGTCGTGTTCACAGACGGATGTTTTGAAAACAAAAAATAGAAATAAACAACGCTATATCTGTATCAAGGGATCGCAAAACGTGTATTTCCGTTGAAATTTCGATTTAGCATAGCATTAGCATAACATAACTTCCCATACTACATATATTACTCCATATATACGTACGTTTACGAAAAAGTACAATTGCAAAAATATTCACAAAAATGCGATGTGTTTGAAAGTTTTCGCATGGCCGACATTATACTGCACTATACCGTTTTTGGCTATAGCAAACAGATTCACTTAACGCCGTCACCGTTGTTACCAACAGGTGGTGGCACGTGGTAATCAAGAGAGGAGACGTCTTCTCACTTTCGCTATGTATCTTTGCTATTCGATTAGATTTTCCAAGGCTGGATACTACAGTCGTGTCAGTATTTTTATACGAACGCTGACCGCTCTAGAACAGTTTAAATTCCTCCACAACGGCGTCGCGGTTTACCACTTATGTCTAGAATTGCAGCGGAAGCATAGAAGTATTGCGTTATTAATATGTGCAGCCCTGAATCCAGATCCTCGAAGGGCGACATTAGCTTGAATTGTCGATCAGTCCGCGTGTTGTACGAAGCAATGAGGGAGTCGAGCAAATCCACGAACTAATTCTACAGTATGGACGATGGTGGAGAAATGGTCGCTTCCATACAGTCTTCTAATATGGCGTATCGCAGAGCGGACGCAAGTGAAGGGTTATAAACACTACGTCAACAGACGTGCTTGAGTTTGTCACTTCAGCGAAATGTGTTGGTTCACCTGTATTAAAAATAACCAGGTTAGTGACGTCGATGGCTTTTCCGAAATGGCACCCCTCTGACAAGCACGGGAAGAGCCTCAGATCGGCATCGGGGATTTACATCACCAACAGACAAGAACGGCGGAGGCAGATGGTTTATCGGGTCTAAGTCCATCGGCTGACACTACTGGAGGAATGTAAATATTACACACAGTGAGCGTGAACGATGGGAGGTACATCTACAGAAACACTAAAGTTGGTCTGATGGTGGCTTCACACTGTACTGAATACTCAATGTCAAAATGCAGGTACCATTCTGCAATTCCAATCATTTGTGTATTGTGATATTCCTAATCTGTAGAATAAATTTCATTTCACTAGTATGTCTCCATCTTGATGTTGCAATTTTCACAATCACCAGTGTATTTGTTCAGATTATCTTTCTCCATGTTGTCGTGGGAGGAAGTATTATTCCTTCACGACCGGTCACGATGAGGGTAAATAGCGCAAATCTATCGCTGGTTTGCTC